AAATATATATTATTAAGCACCAAGTTATTTATTTATTTATAATATTTTCCAGTTGTTTTAATTTTTTAAAAACATTTTCTTGATTTCACAGAGGAAGGGAGAAGGAGAGAGAGAAACATCTATGATAATGAAGAATCATTAATTGACTGCTTCCTGCATACCCTCTATCAGCAATTGAGCCTGTAACTGAGGCTTGAGCCCTAACCAAGAATTGGACCATGACCTCCTGGTTCATAAGTTCACACTCAATCACTAAGCAACATCAGCCAAGCCCAGTTGTTTCAATTTTTAAATACATTGTTCTAGGAAGGAGCATGACAAAAAAAGGCTGCAGTTAAAATAAAAAAGATAACTATTAGATAATGTCTTCTCTTTAGTCTCTAATTTATCATATATGTGAAGCCCTAAATCTCAGAGCATTGCAAGTTCCTAGAAGCAATGCTGGACTTTGCCCTCTTGTCAGAGCACTGGCTATCACCTTCTCCAGGTGACCTTGCCGTTGACTGACCCTTGCAGAGCCCTATCTTGAATAACAAAAATTTTGGTCTATCTAGACTTCCTGATACGTCTGTGTTTGGTTATATCCATATGTAACTATATTTAAATATAAAATAAAAAATCTGAGAGAAGCTGAAAAAATATGAGCAAAAATGTGTTTATCCTTTACAAGTTTGTATAGTATGATTTCAGATCAATGCTTTGAAGATAGACTTTGTTATTTAAGGTAGAAGGGGGAAAATCATCTTTTGACTCAAACTTAGCTTTACCAAGTGAAAAGTTTAAAAATAGACCCAAAGAGTAATATAATTGCATAGTAAGTGCTTCATTGCAACTGCCATTTTTCATGTAAAAAAAACCAAACACAATTACTTAAAATAGAAATTCTCTCTTTTTATCCGCTATAGATAAATGCTTATTATTTAGTCTGCCAATGAGCAATGCTCTATGTTAATAAAACAAAATATGTTGTTAAGTCATTCAAATTATTTATATTCAGATTAAACTTGCAACTTAGTATATCTTGGAAGGTTAATAGGTATACTAAAGTGGAGAAATAGTGCTATTCTGTTATTCATGCCATGTACTCCATATCCTTTGACCATTCATTGAGTCAATCAGAAAAATTCAATAAATGTTGTATTTATGACTTCATTGCATACAATGAAATATCTTATACAAAATTTTCTTCCATATTTTATATATGGACTCAAAATATTCCTTCTGTGGTAAAGACAAAAATAAAACTAACAACTACATTAATAAATTGTGTAAAATGTTGTACAGTTTTTCAGCAAAATACTGAGAAATTATGTAAAACCCGTGAGAAATAAATGTCTATTTCTTGCTATCAAAAAATAGCATGGAAAATAAGGAATTGTAGCAAAAAAAATTAAAGAATTTGGAAACTAGATCAATCAAATAAGTGGCAAATTAGGAAGACATCAATAATCAAAATTAAAATATGATTTTGTACTAACAAAGATGTGAGTTGTGATAAATAAAATTTCAGTATCTTCTAATTTTGTCAATTCCCTATGTTCTGCTAAGAAATTGGTACTGTCTTTATCACCCAATCCTGAAAGCCTGGGTATCAAAACCTGAGTGTTGTCTACAACATACACATAATTAAAATCAATCAAAGAAAGAATAATTAATTTATTATTTAGCTATTTTTTATACTTTGGGGGGAGGTTTTTGGTGGAATATGAAATAAAATCAACTTACTCAAAATGCCTTTATTAAAAATTCTAAGTTATATTTATCCATTGCTTGGCAAAGTCTCACATTTATTCTCATTTCAAGTAAAACTGAAGAAATCAGCTACAGCTAATTAAGCTAAGCAAATATCAGCAAAAGCAGGCTTTTATTTCTAGCAGTACATGAAACCTTGCATGGCCATACTTTATTTCTCTATGGTTCTTTTTTCATTGATTTTTCAAAAGGTAAATGTTTTTACATTAACAGAGTGAATGTAAGGAGAGAGAAAGAACAGAACGGAGAGAGCAATTGATACCCAGAGTTGAAATTTCCAAAACAGTAATCTTCATAAAGTACTCCAAATAACATAACCAACCAACACGGACATTATTGATTTGTGTTGCAAATTTACGTTATCAAGGAATACATGTGGTATTCTATGTCTACTGGATAGGTTTTAGGTACATTAGCATTAGTATGCATAGGCATACTTAGAAAACTGGGAAAGATTTTTAGGATGTAGCTAGACTGTTTAAAATTTACCTTGAGGTGTTTGTTCTTGACTTCATTCTCTTGAATTGAGATTGCAGCAAACTCAATAAATCAGTATTCATTTTAACTATCACCAAGCTCTGATGTATCAAAAAAGTGAATTCCCACCCTATAGTAACTCTTCTTGGAGACAGAAAATGTCTACTCAGAAGACTGGGAGAAATGTCATTTGATCAAGCAGTGAAGAATAGTTTTTCCACATCCAAGAGCATGGAAATATCTGAACAGTTAATGGAGCATGGCTTTATATTAAGGGCTGATATCTTGGAAAGACATGAGAGCACTAACTGAATGGTAGTGTATGGGCAAGGGGAAACGTGCTAGAAACATGATACCATGAGGGGAAAAAGACACACACACACACACACACACACACACACACACAACCTTAATGTGTTAAAGAAGAGGGTGGGCTTTCTTCTTTCCTGCTTGACTGGATCAGGCTTGGATGGACTGTGTGGCTTGGTTGGGTTTATACCAAATAAAGATTGACATTTTGCTGAGATACTAACATTAATATAAGGATTGGAAACTATGGAAGAGGAAACTATAACTATAAGAAAAAATGGCCTTGTGTTCCATGGTCATTTATCTGATAAACACTTAATGTAGGGGTCAATAAAGCTGCTAACTCAACCAGAAAAAAAATCTTATAAATCCAGTTCATTGTTTCCTTTTATAGCTCAAACATGACGAGTGTGAAAGTATAAGTATTATGATCTTATATAGTGACAAATTACTATGATACTGATAATAATAGGTCTTGTAAAACTAGGAACTTCACTGATAGTACCATTTTTTTATGGGACCATAGAGAGAGAAAAAGAACAAGAGTTATAATAAAACAGAGATCTCCTGAATGTAATGAAGGGAATATATCCAATGCCACAATGTCAGGCTATCCTTCTTTTCTGACTAGAATCCTCTTAACTTCCTGATGCCATTCATGGTGAATATAGCCTATTAATTTATTTTCATAAACATTTAATGGCTAGGAAGGAAGTAGAATACATTATAATCTTAAATAGGAAAAAAAAGATTACCCATGCAAGGCATAAATAAGCCAACATCTTTATACAGATTTGATACTGATTTATTTTTATAATAATCATGCACTATTTTATAATTAAAATTAATATTGCATAAAAATTTATACTCTTTTATGTCATTATATAATGCTGGTACATACTTTAGAAAATAAATGTTATTCAAAAAGTGCTCATACAATTAAGTTTATCCATAGCCCACTTATTTAAAAAAAATTTGATCGTCCTGACAAAAAATCAACAAGGACACATCAGCCTTAAATGACATACTAGATTATATGGATTTAATTGATATCCTCAGAGCATTTTACCCCAAAGCAGCAGAATATACATTCTTTTCAAGTGCATATGAAATATTTTCTAGGATAGACCAAATGTTAGGAAACAGAACAAATCTCAATAAATTTAATAAAATTGGAATGTTACTAAACAATGAATGGGTAAACAATGTGATCAAGGCAGAAATTAAAAGATTCCTTGAAACTAATGTAAATCAGACTACAATAACCCCAAATCTATGGGAAAGCAATCCTAAGAGGGAAACTCATAGCAATACAGGCCTACCTCAAGAAACAAGAACATTTTCAAATAAACAACCTAAATTAAAGGAACTAGAAAAAATAAACAAAGCCGAAAGTGAGTGGAAGAAAGGGCATAATAAAGGGCATAGTAAAGGGCATAGTAAAGAGCAGAAAAACAAAAAAACAAATACAGAGAAAGATAAATACCTTAATCAATAGAGAGGGGGAGGCAGAGAAAAGATAAACAAGATTGGTGAACCTTTAACTAGTATCATAAAAAAAAGGGGAAGATCAAAATAAATAAAATCAGAAATGAAAGAGGAGAAGTAACAAACAATTGACTCCACCCAGAAATAAAGGGGATTGTAAGAAAATATCATAAACAATTATATGTCAACAAATTGGACAATCTTGACAAAATGTATAAATTCTTAAGTATATGAAATTTTAAAATGTATTAATTTGCTTTAAAACAATATGTATAGCTATAAAAAGTGGAGTTATTTTTAACTGAACGTGTACCATGTAGGAAACTGTGTTTTTTTATTGGTGAAAGGGATCTCACAGAAATTCAAGTTTGGAAGGATTTCCTTTGTTGTTTCAGATTTGGTTGTTTGGGATATGGAGCTAGAAGTGTGGGAGGGCTTTCTCCAACATTGATATCTACTCCATTAGCTTTTTCTATGTGTTTATTTTATTGTAGTTTATTAAAATCATGATATTAAAATTTATTAAAATTAATAAGTTCAAGGGATATTTTATGCAATGTAAGTCATCCATTATGGATATCAGATATCAGAAACCAATATGTTGAAGAGTGATCATATACTGGCCATAAGGAATCCTTTCGATTTCCAATTAAAATCAGAAGGACAACTGTCAGGCAATGTCTTCTTTTCAGTCTCTAATTTATCATATTATGGCACTAATTACTTTTAGAGAAATTCCAACACTGTAGTATTCTAACCATAGTAAAAATGCCTCTAGAGATACTTTGATAAATGTGTAAATTTTAAATAAAGAACTAATTTAAAATTTTTCAAAAGAATTGTCTGTAATAGTAGTTCTCATATCATGTCTTTAAGATCAAACAATTAACCCAACATTTAGATCCAGAGAATTTAATAATTTATGCAATATTACTTAGAAACACATAAACTGATGTTTAAGTGGTTATTCATACCGTCATAAATCCATCCAGCAAACCTGAATCGGGTTTTGGAGGTGCCTGCAACCGCTCCATGGACCATTTTTCAATGATGGAAGAGACTTGTGTATTTTCAGTATTTAATATTCTGAACCCTGTCATGTTAACTCCACTGTATCGGTAGGGCTCTACATCAAGAGCAAAGAGGTCCTGAAAGACAAATGTTTTCATGTTATTATCAAAAGAGTATATTTACAAGCATGCATAATTGAAATAGTCCCTTATTTTTGCTTGCCTTAGGATAATTAACACCAATGTGTCTCAAGTGATGCTAAACATCACAAATCACCAGATTCAAATAGAATATCCTCATGCTTTGCCAATGCAAATATGTGTGTGTGTGTGTGTGTGTGTGTGTGTGTGTGTGTGTGTGTGTACTATTCTAATTCCACCAATGCTACAACAGGCTTCTTATAATTTATGTGAGTTTTCTTTTTCATGTTAAGAATAGCTTATCCTTAAATATTATGCATTCCTCTTTCACTCTTATCTAACTAGATGTATTATTTTCTATGCCCTGCTTTTTTGGCTGGTTATTGCCATTTTATATTTTAGGTATTTTTTTGTTGTTATTTTGTTTTGTTTTTTAAGAAACAGTTCACAGAATATGGCTTCTAACTAAATAAAAAATATATCAAAACAGAAGAAAAAAAGCTAAAAAAAAAAGACTGTTCTTTTTGTGGCAGAATACCTGCAGCCCCTTTGCTACACCCTTTCTGGCAATTTCGCCATAAGGAATCCTTTAGATTTTCAGTCTGTATACAGTGAGTGCTCTGCTTTGCTCTTTGGTTTTTCCAGAAGGCAGGAGACCAAAGCTATCAAAGTATCTGGGTGTCACTATGAAAACATGCAATACATAAGACTTTTGCCTTTTTTTCTAATTGATCTTACAGACAACATGAGAACAGGGGCAAGACTAATGCCGTTGGTTCTATGTAAATCTTGCCTTGGTCTCAGACAGCTATACAGGTTAGGTATCAGGAATAAAATTATGTGGATCTTTAGGATTTTCTTTTTCAATGTTTGCAGTCAAGCCAAGGATACACACTGAATAGCCAGATTATTATGATCTCTGGATACATAATAATCTTCCCACTCAGTGTATGCCCTATATAATAAAAGGCTAATATGCAAATTGTTCCTTGATCAGGAGTTCGACTAGCAGGCAGGCCAGCCAACCTCCCATGTCCCAGGCTGGCCGGACCCCACCATGCATAAATTCATGCACTGGGCCTCTAATATATATACTAAGTGACAGATTATTATGCATTCAGTTATCACAATAATCTGGCCACTCAGTGTATATTCAATGGATTAAATAATATATTGTAATGTATGCTAAGGGGTAAAAGAGAAGAAGTCAGCAAAAATTAGAAGACAGGTGACTTTTAATTTCTATAGTCAGAAACAACTTCCTCAATCAGATGGATTCAGAGCTGCAATCAAAGACTGGGCAGGTTTTTAAGAGGCAAATGGAAAAGGAGGCCATTTGAAGTATCAGTACAGTCAAAAATTAGAAAATATAAAACCTATTCAGGAGACTGATCTAGATCAGTTTGGCCACAAAAGAGAATTCATAAGAGTAGCAGCAAACAAATGAACAAATCAACTAGAAAAGTTAGGTTAGAATCAAACTAAAAAGGCCTTCAATTATAGACTGTGTTCTATACAATGCAAACTAGTTCTTTTCTCTTTTTTTTCTTATTAAAAAAAATACTTTTGATTTTCCTAAACTCTTATGATTACGGAAGAACTGAATTCTGGCAGAATTAAAATATAATTTGCTAATGAGTGAAGGCTTCCACTCCCTCTCCACCAGCATTATCACTGAGTATCTTACAGAGATAGTACAGTGGAGTTAACCTTAGTATTTACCAGTAAAATGCAACTTACAGCTAGAAGGATCTCTCCAGGGAAGGAGAGTCTTAATACACAAAGCTATTGTGATCAATTAAATCTTAATACTTTGATCTGGTAGTTTCAGCCATCCGAAAATCAAGATTACCTGGAACACTTTTAAGTTAACAGAGAAAAAAGCATTGGTTAAATTGTTCACTGTGCTAGAGACTCTGTGAAGGAAAGACAAGTAGATTTTTGTTGGAGATAATGAATCAGACACAATGGGATTTTTTAAGGAAGTCAGAAGAAGGGTCAATTTAGAGGATAATAATATATTATGTTTAAATAATTTGAAATGATCTTAATGCCACAACAATTAGGATTATTCTTCAATGTAGCAATACACAACAATTCAAGATTATTACAGATGGATGTTTAGACCTTACTTGAACAAAGGTAATAACTGAAACTTTAAAAACATACCATTTCTGAAGAAAATGATCAAAGATTTTTTTAAAAAGAAAATAGAATGGAGGTCCAAACTTGGAGATACTCTCATATTCTGGAGTCAGGCAGGAAACAAATTAGTGACAGAGACACACAGCTATTTCACAGGGGAAGGTATTAAAAGAAACTGGCCCCAAATGGAACTCTTTTGCAAAGCCCATGTCACCAAACCAAGGTTACTCATTTCAAACTTCCTCAGGAATATCATCTTACTGGTCGACCTGTAATTTCCTGGTCAACAACAGTGAAGTAACCTGCCTTAATATACCCTTTTGTCCCCCAACAGGAAGTAACCTTGCCTGAAATAACCTTTTTCTGCATTTATGACTCCCTCTTCCCACCCTCTCTCTGCCTTTAAAAGTCTCTGAACACCCCCTCAAAGCTTCTCTCCACTTGGTAGACGGGATGCTGTCTGATTCAAAAATCATTTGTTAAAGCCAATTAGATCTTCAGATTTACTCATTTAAATGTTATGTTTTTAATAAAGAGAAATTGGGGTGTGAAATCATAAAGAAATAGAGCTAAGAGTAAGGAGGTTTGATAAAACAGCAAAGTCAGGTTTTTGTACATATTGAAGAAAAACTTTGTTGTGGGTATATGCAGACAAAAGATAAACATAACATTCAATATTCTAATAGTTCATTAAATAATATTAATTAAATATTTGTCCAACTAAATATAGACAAATACAATGTAGTAAATTCATCCCACTAAAAGAGCAGCTTCAACAAATAGGACTTTTGTAAAGTGAGTAGAATTAACCACAGAAGAATTTGTGCTTTTCTAAAACATTGATTTCTCAGTGAACTAGTTTTGAATTCCATTATGTTCTGAAAGTCATCTACAGGAATATAAAAATAAGATAATATATTGAATTTAACATTTAAAAGGAGTTTATTTCAATATAATCAGCTTATCACCAAGAAATATTAGTTCTTTGTTATGATAATTCCTCCTGGGTTTTATCAAAATAATATACAGTATAACTACAACAGTGTCAGTCATATTATTTCTTCTCACTCAAAACCCATTTTCCATTCTGCAAAGTCATAATAATAAAATTTAGAGCATTATCTTTATGTTTTATAAATTACTTACCAGAGTGGTAAAGATATAATGATAATATTCTGTCATCATCCCCATAGCTAATGCCTAAGAAGTAAAAACAAATAAAAATAAGTAAATATAAGTATATTGATACTAAAGGTACACATTGTATGAAATACATTATGCCAATAAAACAGATGAAAACAAAATAGCATTATTTTAATAAAGAATCATCTATATTATTAAGGTTACATTAAAATTGAATCAAGCTAAATATTTCCTCCATAGTTGAAGATTAGTGGTTACTAAAAGAATTTCAGAACTAATTATCTTGATAGAATAGCTGTCATTGAATATGTGCATTTGTGAAGCTTACTGCTTTGCATATAAGGAGAAATTTCATTTGACACAAACCTGAAATAGCACATCTTAGTTCATTACGTGTGTAATGTGTCTATCACCAATACCCTAATGAGGAACACCATTTTATTTTGATAAAAGGCATTACTCAATTAGGGAAAAATGTGCTGCAAAGTACAATGCCAATAGGAATTTTTTAAAGCATTTTAGAGATATTTCCCTGACATTAAAGAAGTAGGTATAAATCACCACTGTCATTCAAAAAGTACAGATAAAAGAAATGTATTTTTATTTTTATTAATAGGCCAATTTCAGTCCACTCTGTTGTATTTCATACTTTTACAGTCCTTGTCAATATTAGACTATTAATTTTAAAACAAAGACTTTTGGATTAGAACTTCTAGCCATAAGAAGTATCAATGTCCCCTCTGAAAAGAGAAAATGCCTTTGATATACTGTAGCTGTTTACCAATAAAGAGTAGTAGGTGATGATAACTGAAAAGTGATGCTCTTTAAAAAAAAAAGTGGATAAAGAGCTCTTAGTAAAAAACAAGCATTTTCAGGTGCACCTAACATTCAGTACTGTTCCACACACTAACTACACAAATTCATTCTGGGCAGAAGTGGCATCTTAGCTATTAAGGTATATATGTCAATCAGTGCCTTCAATTTGCCTCAGAAAAATCTAGCCAGCCCCAAGCTCCACTCAGTTTTAAAGCTTTCAGAAAAGAGAACTTCAAATTCACTGTTGCTCAGCATTTGGAAAAAGCTCAGGTAGTGTAAATAAATTAAGCAAACAAATTAGCAAATAAGGCTACACTGATAAACCCATTCTTTTTTTTTCTGGATATTTAAAATATAAAACCCATCTATACCTGCTCTCCAAATCCTGTATCATTCCCTCAGAGTTCCATTGTTTGTTAACCAATGTTGAAGAATCTCAGAAAAAGTTTATAAATCATAAAATATAGAATCGTAGTAAATGTTGCATTGCTACATTAACAAGAAGGAAGATATTTATTCTTGAATTGGTTTCTAGAATAACTGCGTTCCAAAGAGGAGACAAATATCTGGGATAAGGTAACTTTAAAAAAATACTATTGTACATGTAGTTTGCCAATGTTATAGAATCTAAAAGGATATTCTGTGTAATAATGTTACTCTGACTTCTTAATTTTCATATTCTCATTTTACCTTTGCTCTGATTTTTAATTTACTAATCTAGTTATCATTATGTCTTGTGCCTCACTGGCATGGCCAAGGGTGAACCTGAGTGGGGACTGCTGAAAGGCTTAGAAAAGACAGGCAGGAGAATGAAAGCTGGATCTCTGTGGGATGCTGCTTCCTCAAGGAGAGACAGCGCCTCCCACAAGCCCTGTCTTTATTTTAAGGAGGCATAGTAAAGGTGTGGTCAAGATATTTACCATGTTCTCTTGGGTTTTGATCCAACTCAACTATAATATAATACATGTACTCTATCAAGCCCACATCACTCAGGCACGTGGGGTCACCTGTTCAGACCATAGATTCAAGCTTACAACTACAGTGTTGGCTATAATTGTGCCAGGAGGGCACTGCCCTCCAAGCTGGGACTTGCACGTGGCCACGAGAGGACTGTGCCTTCTCATTAATCAGAGGCTTGAACCTGTCCAAACACTGTAGCCGCGCCCCACAATGTATCGTTTTCTGATGTATATATATATATATTTTTTAAATATTATCATAATTCTCTTTTCTATGTGTATCCTAACCTTGGTTTATTTTGGAATAAGTATTTCTTTATATCTCTAAGTCAGAATAAACATAAGAAAACAAGTATAAAATAATGAATGAATCAAAGAGAAAGCAGAATGGAAATTCTATTAAAGATGACAGGCCCCTCTCCTTTCAAATAGCAAAATAAGTCAGAGTTAGTTATCCTAGGGACAAAATAGCTGATCATTTATATACTAGTTGGAAGCCTAGAGAGAAAGCATACCAAAGCTCTGTAACAGACAAACACTGAGTGTTAACTCACTCCTGGAATAAAGAAAAGGTCCCCTTTCCAAGGCTGTGTATTCTTTTTTTAATACTTTTTTTTTCTTTTTTGATCTCAGAGAAGAAGGGAGAGGGATTTAGAAATATCAATGATGAGAGAGAATCATGGATCAGCTGCCACCTGCTGGGATAGAGCTTGTAACCTGGGCATGTGCCCTGAAGGAGAATTGAACTGTGTCCTGCTGGCTTATAGTTCAACATCCAACCCTGAGCTATAGTGGCAGGGCAAGTCTGTGTATTCTTACTGCGACCAAGAACTGTTTTGATATTAAATAAAAACAAATCCCTACTCTGTATTTCAGTGCTTACTTTATTGCATCATTTTGTTCATTAAAAACAAAAACCACACAAACAAAAACCTCACATGCCTTATTACCCAAATATAACACTGGAGCAATTTTCCAAATCCAATTAAATATTTTACTGTCGTGAAATCAACATTCATATTGGGAGACTGGACAAACATCTGTTTAATAAAATAACCATTTAAGAACAGGCATTTACTGTTGGCAGTTATATGTTAAAGGACATAATTTGACATCTGAAGCTGCATCACTCTCCAGTAATGAAATTTTATCCTACACATGAAAGATGTTAAGACAGTTATACAAATTCTAAACCTATAATGTTAGCCAGTGTTGACAAAAATTCTAAAAAACGAAGTCCAAAGACTTATATTCAAATCCAGGTTTTACTACATTGTAAGTATATGGCCTTGTACTAACTAACTCCCAACATTAGTTCCTTCATCTGTAAGATATAAGCCAATAGTAAGTGCTGTTTTCAGAAGTGTGATTAGGTCTGAATAATCCTGAAGTCATATTAAGAGATCTTACTGCTATAAATGATTTCTTTTGATTGATTTAGTATTATCCTTTTTAGTAGGTAATGCTTATTCTGGAAGGAATATTTCTTTTTATTAAGTGTACTGTTAATAAAAGTATGTAGGTTGTCAGTGTATAATTTTATGATGTGTCATGTGTACATTGTATTGCGTGTGCACCACCCAAAGTTAAACCTGTCACCATACATTTGACCCCCTTTACCCTTTACTTTCCTCCCACTCCCTTCCTTCTGGTAACAACTAGACTGTTGTCTGTGTCTATGAGTTTTTGTTGTTTGTTTTATGGTTTGTTCATTATTCCTTTATTTTTTTAAATATATTTTATTGATATTTTACAGAGAGGAAGAGAGAGGGATAGAGAGAAAGATCGATGAGAGAGAATCATCGATCAGCTGCCCCTTGCACACCCCCTACAGAGGATGTGCCCGCAAGCAAGGTACATGCCCTTGACCGGAATTGGACCCAGAACTTTCAGTCCACAAGCTGATGCTCTATCCACTGAGCCAAACCCGTTAAGTTTTATTTCTTAATGTCACTTGGTGGGATATGCATCCCTCTGGTATTTCCTTGCTGTTGGACATTGGTCAACTTACTTAATCTTTTTGAAACTCATTCTCTTTGTCTTAAAGTAAAGATAGCCCTTTTTCTTTTGGTTGTGGTGACAACTAAACACCAGCAGAGGTGTAGGGCGTCTCACAGGAGATGCCAGCTAAACAGCAAATCTTTTTTTTTCTTTTCCTACCAGTTGAATTTAGTGGCTGAGTTGCTCAACTGTTTCTCTTTCATTTCAGTACAAAACAGAAACAGCTATGTCATTAATTAAAATTCACATTAAAAAACAGTAGTTAGCCACATAAAATAACCCATGTACCACAATCTGTTTGAAGATCATCAATCTTGACATTACTGTTCCTGAAAAAAGAATTTATTAAAAGCAATTGCCAGACTTTTTAATCAGAAAATTACATCTAGGAAAATACTCGGTGTGTTTTTACAAACTGTCTGATATAACATTAATACTTTGATTTGAAAACCAAAGTCCAAACTTTAAATGCAAATTAAAAAAAAACTAATAATTTAAGTAATTTAAACATTACCTGTTTCAAAATGCCTGCTGCCATTTCATGGCTGCAGTCAAAGATTACGTGGAACTCCTTGCCTCTTTTCATTTCCTTCAGTAAGGGCTTTGCATCCTTTGTATCAGCAGGTAGTTGACGAATTTTAAGTCGGAGATTGTACCGTGATGGAGCTTTAATGAGCTCTTGTAAACGAATGAGACCTTTAATGAAAAAGGTTAAAAAAAAAAAAGAAAAGAAAATAGAGAAAAATTGGAGTGGGCCATAGAATCACAAAACATCTCACAACATCTGATTTTCTTGCCCATGTATATGTGCATAATGTAGTATGACCATTAAAATTCCTATTTCAAAACTCTAGATTCAAGGTGATTTTCGTTAAAATAATCACTTCTGAAATTCTATAAGTTATTTTTCAAAAATATGAAATACATAAATGACTATTAGTTAACATAAATCATTTATGTATGTAAATGAGTAGTGTTAAATTGTCTCCCTCTGTACCTCAGTACTACTCCCAAGGAGGTGTCACTGTTAATAATTTGAAATATGAATATTCAATATACTTTCTGTGAATTTCAAATATGTACATAGAGGTTTACTTTGTTTTGTGTTTTATATTAATAGTTGTTTTGTGACTATGTCTTATATGTTGTTTTAAGTCAGTGACTATTATTCTAGTTTGTCCATCATTAGGAGTGTTTTATAGAGGACATAATTTGTGTAATTATTCTCTATTGTTAGAAACTCTGGTTACTTTTTGTTTTGTTTTTGTTTACAAGTAATGGTTTAGTAATTTGGTGTATTTTTAAAAGTGAAATAAAGTTCCTTAATAAAACAGACTCTAAATAGCCTGAACCATAATTAAATTACTTAAGAAATAGACTAACTTTTAAATATAGTTTCCTAGGTATAATATTAAATTCAGAATTTAATAAAACCACAGACATTGGTACAAGCAAACATTTTCCTAGAGCAGTAGTTTATGATTACATTAACAAACAAATCAAACTAATAGAAACATATTTAATAGATCATAGAAATATCAATCATTTAAAAACAACAGAGAAAAATAATTGACTATATTCTTTTATACAAACTTCAAGTAATAAGTTACTGACAAAAAAGACACAGTACATAAAAGAGCTTGATAAGAAAAAAAGGATCATCCAATTATATTCAAGCTTAAACCAAATTAGCAATTTCCTTTTCTCTTCTTCCTTCTCTTTCTTCTTATCTACCTACTCTTTTTCCATTTCATTTCTATATTTTTATTTCTTCACTGGAGGCCCAGTGCATGAAATTACTGCACAGAGATGGGGGAAGTATCCCTTTGCTCAACCTGCAACTTCTCCAATCTGAGGCTCCTCAAGGGATGTCTGACTGGCAGTGGGTGTAGCAGAGTGATGGTTAATTTGCATGTTTCTCTTTTATTAGGTAAGATGATATCAGAAAATATAATACATACGTTTTTTAAAATATACTCATAAAATATTAAAAATGTAAAATGGTACTAAAACCAAAATGTCTAAGAATTATTCAATTGGGTTCTCTCTAAATTGTTTATAGCTGTAAATTTTCATTATTCTAACAAAATTATGTATATAAACACTGACTGATGAATAGCAACTTTAGCTGAAGAAAGAAGGTCAAACTGCCCTTGGCTTATTTACCTCACAAGATTTTGTACAAGTTAAATGAAGACTTAGGGGAGTTAGCCTATCATAACAAAATATAGCCTAGGCATTGTATTTGAATCTCAGTTCAAAAATCTATCATCTGGATGATTGGAAAAACCATCTATGTATTAATATATAAAACACCAAAAAAGAAACTGGCATATATTAGGTTATCAATAAGTAGCAGTTATTATTGGTGTTATTTTTATTAACATAGGATGAATATAATTTTTTAAATGTACTGGTTATTAAAACTGTTTTTAGAAGGTATTTGACACTGATATAGACTGGAAAACTAACAATAAAATTTTAATCATATTTTTAAGAGATGAATTCATTACCAAAGGAAAGGGGTTATATAGTTATAAATTAGCCCAGTAGTTTTAAGTTAAAAAAGCTCAACCCACTCAAAAACATAAATTTTATGAAGAATAAAACCCATAAAGAATATTTGTGACGTTTGCCCTAAGTATAAATATTGCCAAGGATATTCAAGTCTCTTAAGATCTCATGTGGATAGTCCCTGGAGCCATCAGATACAATAAATGTTTACATATTCTCTTCACACATATATATCCCTGCTAGCATTAATGTAACAGATTTCAGTGTGCCAGCTTCCTTGGGGAGTAATATCTAAGATCTAAGAAAATAACTGTTGCTACTAGGAACTGCCATCTCCTAGTTAAGAATTTAAGTGAAAGGTTGTCTTCATTCAACAGAGATCTATTGCATGTCTTCTGTGTGTGAGACATTGTTTCATTGATAAACACTATGAATGAAGTAATAGTATGTATTTAGTATTCAACTGCTTGAGATCAACTTTGACATTGACATTTTTTAATACAAAAGTTATTTCCTATAATGTTTTTCATAATCAGTTTTTGGAATAAAATTGGTTCAGTGACATCAGAGAGCAGAAACCTAGACACCTGTTTGAATACTAAGAGCAGCACCCTAGTTTTGAGTGATGGCTTTCCATCATCTCCTGTACTAAAAAGTCTAGGTGCTTCTCTCTCTCTTGGCTTCTAAGCATTCGTTGATGTGCTCTGGGGTGCTATTTCTTTTTTATTCTATATCCTCATTCTAGGTTCTTTGTCTTCCTCATTATCTGACATTTAGATACAATGTCTGTCAAAACCTGTTACTTAGAACACTTTGGAAGAATGAGAGGAGTGACAAAATGGAAGATGCATCCAAAACATCCAAAGAATGGATGCTTAGCTACTATTTAATATGAGTAATTGGATTTTCTCCTTAGTAAAATGGGCTTAAACAAAAAGAACATATTCTAATTACAACACTGGCTATGTATTTCCTTCTTCAGCTCTCTGTCAATCTTCCTATCTCCTCCAATATCCTCCTGCAACTAACCATGTTCTAAAAATAACAATTCCTGAAAAGATCACCCTAATCAAATTCATCATATAGAAATAAATATGCATGCTTTGTGGGGGGGAAAAAGCCCCCCCCCCTTTTTAAGGAAAAAAGCATGAGCCTCTCAAAATATTTAAATGGTTTACATGTAATCCTGGGCCTTTGGTCAAAATGAAGAAATAAAAGGACCCATCTCTGAGATGAAGTAAAAGGGGGAAAATCTATTTTATTGAAAATGTGGCTAACACAAATAATTCCCAAAGAACAATTTTCAGAAAGAATAGTTTAACAAATGTGGCACCTGGTTAGGTTATTTAATGAAAGAGTAGAATTATGACTCCTTAAAACAGCCTTTTAATTAAAATGCCCATTTTCCCTAATGCAATTAGTTGATGTAATGGTAATAAAAAAGAAACAATCTGCCCAGATGGGTTCCTGAAAACCTTGCAACAAAGAAGAGCTGCGCATTGCAATTACCACTTTATTTTGGAAGATGTGCAACATTCTACTGCCTCTAATTCCTTCACAGATAGGAAAAATCTTAACCTCTTTCTACTTTCAGCTATTTTACAGTAGCTGAAACCAAGGTTTATCTTGTGCTTATAGGGAACAGAGGTCTGAGCTGCTCTTTTCAAAAGTTGCCATCAATTCAGCTTTTAAGGAGACTCCAGAAGGAGCCATTTGTGCACACTCCAGCTGGCGCTTCCTTCCAAAGAGATCAATCACACCACCTCTCCGCAGGCCCAGCCTCTCCAGGCCCCAGGAAGGGAGTCCCACATCTCCTCCCATCCCCAGGTATTGATTTGGGCAGCTCACAAACTAGAGCTTTGCCACCTGGCTTACTCAACTGCCCTATTTATCATTTCAGTAAATGTGGTCTCTGTGCAGGCCAGACGTCCCCCAAAATACACTGTATAATAAACGAAACAAAAGTGACTCATCTACATTCAATGGCTCATCACACACACACACCCCTTTCTTTTTTTTTAGTTGAGAAAGGATCATTCTTTGAGGGGCCAAAGAATAACGTTTCCGGTTATTTTTATTAGGATGTTTTATTTGCACTACAGAATGTTTTAACGTAAACTAAATAGAATATGTATACCAGGTATGGATTTTGTACTGTTTGGTAATACTTTAAATATAGAGAAGAAAGCTAATTACCATTTTAAAAAATGTTAAATGGTTTTGACAGGAGAGGTAGATTGGCACTACAAAAATGTTTGTCTCCAAATTTCTGTGAGCCCTCCTCCTAGGGGGCAGGTGAATTTATTCATCAGTCCTGGGGAAATGGAAAATAGAGAATGCTGGGGTCTAGGAAAAGAAGGGAGAAGGGGAAAGGAAGATGAAGCTTCCAGAGCTGTTTCATCTGGTTCGAAGACAGAAAGCTAGTGATATAAAGTAAAATTAGAGGGCTGATCTCCAGGGAGGGACTGGCTCCTCTCTGTCTGAGATTTGCTGCATTTTTAAAGTATGCTAGAGCTTACGAAATTCAAAACTCAAAATATGTAGAAATAAAAATACTCTAGCTTGGTATATTGAAATCTAAGTAGCAAGTGAGTTTCCATTGGAATCTCAGCATGTGAATGTGAGGAACATTGTGTTAAGAATGATTTTCATGCTAAGTCTGTGTTCAGGGGCATGTTTCAATAGGGATTGCCCTGGGGTGGTGGGCTAGGCACGGTTGCGTCATGTAAAGGTCATCCCTATATTAAAATCTCCTGCTTGATTATTTGTTAAATTATAAAATCCTATCCATTATGTTTTTATTGATGGAAAAGTGTTTCTATGCTTCAAAATGGTAAATAATACAATGGCAACCAAACATTTTAGGCATCCTGTTCTCTACAAAGCTAGGACCTGCGTGGTTCAATCTTGAACCATAATGCATTCAAACAAGTAAAGTCCAAAAAAGAATTCTTACATGAAATCTCCTGAAAATATTTTACAAGTATACAAATTTATAGTCTGAAGCAACTAGTTACAATTCCATATTTTCCTCTTTTCAAACACCCTCAAATCCTGAGAATCACTCTGACACATAATACAGATAAACACACACGTGTGCACACAAATGCACACACATACACACTACTCTGCTTCTATTTCCCTGGGAAATATAATTCACCTCTTTGCTAACATCTCTCCCT